AGCAACAAAATTGACTTTAACAAATAATTAGATTAAGAGTGCTGTTTTCTGATTACATAAATCTGAGGTTTATGAAAAACAAAAAAAGATTTACCTGATCGTACTCAGCGCGTATATCCCGAATAGCAGAGGCAAGTTCATTCTTGAAAAATTCTCGATTTTCGGGTGTAGTATCACGAGCTGCTAGACTTTGCAGTTCACGTATTTCTTGTTCATGGACACGTTTAATAAAATCAACTTCTTCCAAAAGTGTTTGTACTTGATTTTGATAGTCGATTCGATTTAAAGTTTCTTGATCGACATCCTAAAATACATATTCTATGTAATATTACTTTGTCTTGGTTTCAAATTCATTCTTTGATTAGATATAAAACTTTAACATTAAAAAAAAATATATTAATATTAATAATTGCAAGACAAATATATATTATATATATAACAAAACAAACAGTTCGTGTTCGTTGTAATTCGCCTATCAGTCGCTGATTTTCTTTCTTCATACGCATTACTTCCTCTTCTAATTCTGTAATGCGACGTCGCAAAGTATTTGTGTCTGCTTCGAGCTGTGAAAGTTGCACAAACATCTCATCAATTTTCTTGCGATCCATTTCACCAACTCGCAAAAAATCCTCATATCTATTCAAATTTAAATGATACTTATATAAAAATGCTAATAAACTTACATCACTATTTCATTTTGAACTTTCAATGTTTAAAATTTTGAAGCTAAATTTTATTTTTGAATAAAAAAAAGTTTTACTTTTTTACTTTTTTCAAAAATAAATCAAATTAATATGAAATATTTGCTGAAAAATTTTTAACAGAGTTTATTTACAAATCAAATTTAGTTTTTAATTTTGAAATATTGGAAGTTTATAATGAAAAATTGATATGCAAATTTGAGTTACTTTATAAAATTTATCAATAATTTTAATTCCAAACTAATTTATTCAAACTGTGATGCAATCTGTTTTTCATTTTGAAGAGTATTTTATATATTTAATACTTATTTGAGTATTTGAGTATACCTTTTTCGATATTGGTTCAATTCATCTTGCATTTTAAGAATTTGCTTATCTAAATCATCGCGTTGTTTCGCTGTTTCTCCAATTAATTTACTCGCCTCCTAAAGTATTTACTTATACTCACAATTATTTAATCTCGACTGTTTAATTAATTTAGTCTTATTTAATATAAATATCATGTCATAAAATTTAGTTTAAGTATCGAATTACTTGAATGATTTGCATTATAAGTTATTAACTTTATACTAAAATTGGCCGCCATTAACCTAGCATTTAAATAAATGCATATAGTTACTGAAAAAAAAGTTGCAAATTTTGAAAAATAATTATAAATTTTGAATTAATGAGGAAGAATGAAAAAAATTAAATTAAATTTTCGGGTCAGTTTCGTGTCAATTTTACGTGAACTTTTTGCTATAAACTAACTAAAAGTTCTCCTTCATACATCTGCTTGATGTTAAATGTATCCTTTCCCCATTTTCCACGTAAGAGATCCAAATCAGCGGCTAATTTCCGATTTTGGGCTTCCAAAAAACGCACCTAAAATCAAATTTTTTACTGATTAGATTATTGTTTTTTTTAATTAAAATTTCATGAATTTCAGAACACTTTGTTGTTATTTTATTCTTTTTTTGAAATTATGTTTATTATCCTTTTTTGTTACAAAAATTAAATATTTAAATGTAATTTCATTTGAAACATTTGGATATGAAACCAATTTTAATCTCATTATTGCAAATGAATTTCTTATACGTGAATGGAACACGTCTTGGAATTAAGCCTTCAGAAATGGGATAAGCTTTATATTTGATCTATGTAATATTTTCTATTTCAGTTTTTTTGTGCTCACTTTCTCGATATAAGTTGCTAATCGATCGTTGAGGTCACTCATTTCTTTTTTTTCACGTTCACGGCTATCACGTATGGTTGAAGCAGCATGTTGGCCAAATGGTGACGCACCACTCAGTATTCCGGTTCCAGCTACAATTCCTGCTGCGCTTGAAAGAGACGTGGTCGAGCCTATTTCCTTCACAAATTTCAATGTACGACCACTTGTAACTGGAAAAAGTATATGAAATTATAACAAATCATTGGTAAATAAATAATCAAAGGTGCTTAAAAAATATATATATGTATATACCTAAAACTCATCGAAAATGTTTTCAAGTATTAAAAGTTGGTAATTATTTAATTTGAACAATAAATAAATTTGTTCTAAGCAAGTAAATTTAAATTATCTATATAAGCTTAAACCTTATTACCCTAACTTTACTTTATACACTTATAATCTAGAATAATTATCTACTTGATCATAATTAATTCTAAATTTGGACTAATATTTGTATTACCAAGTAATGTTTATCTTAATTGATTGCTATGCAAATTGGTATAATCAGGATTCATAATTTGAAATACTTTACAAAATTAATTTGTATATTTTAAAATACTATTATAAGCATTCATAAATGAATTGATTGATTATTTAAGTATAAATCGCATAATTACCGCTTGATTCACGCAAACGTCCTCCAAGAGGTTGACGTGCCATTGTGGACGATACAAATGACATTGCGTTTGTGGATTTGTTTCAATAAAACTATGCTAGAATATGCAAATATAGCGTTGAAGTTAGAATATATAACATTGAAATGTGAGTAATAAGCAATATTTTTAGGATATAAAGAAAGGAAAACAGTCTAGTTAGCTGCTACCTTTGTACAGGTGAAACAACAAAAATCGCTAGCAAATATTCTTTTTGAAGCAGACAAAATTTACCTTAGAATTAGCAAACAGTTACTACACAGAAGATTACTTTTTACTTTTTTAGAGTCAAAATTGTAAGTAATAAAAAGACAAAAACAAAAAATATATATATATATATATATTTGCGTATATTCTTGAACTAACTGAAACGAACAATTTGCTTAGCAGTGCAATAATTTGTTGATTTAACCTTTTTGAAATGATAATTTCTGGTTTTTCTTGTAATTCCTAACAAAATGGACTATTTTACTTTTAAATGCAATAATAGACTTTTGATTCAAAGTGTATTCTCTAAAGCATCAAAGAAGACTAACTAAGTAAATGTTTTATTCACGTATTTTAAGAGTAAACTGAAAAAATTACGCTACAAATGTTTTACAAACAAGTTTTGGAATAAAGTCTTTTCACTAATATTTTGTTTATAAATTGCAAACAAAAAAAAAAAACAGAAATTACATTAGCATATTATTAAGAATTTTCGTTTAAAAACAACAAAATTAAATCACTTAAATTGTATTTTATCTCAGTACATTCAGTACTAAAAATCAAAGTCAGATTATATAAATGATCAAATATTTTATATCACTGATGACTTGAAATATGTACGATCTAAAAATATCAGCTAATATTACTGATCAAAAAATATCAGCTAGTATCATTGATCAAAAAATATCAGCTAATATCATTGATATTTTAAAACTATCAGTAGCATATTACTTAAATTACATGCAGTCCACACGTATCAATCGTTGTGTACTAAAACTATATCAGACTTTTAAAAAAATTTTGAGTCATAAATAATTGTTTTTTCTACGAAAGACCAGTTATTTATGACCCTAAATACATATAATTTAGAAATATTAACCACTGATTACTCACAATCCATAAATATCAGTGACATTTTATTTATATCAGAAATGATCGAAATTACTGATTATTAGTCATCAAAATTACATGGATTTTGACAAGCTTACAGCATGTTTAATCACATTGCAAGCACTCAACACGGATCAGGTGTTTATGAATCAAATTATATGCATCATAAACAGCCTGTTTTTGAATAATATATTAAGTAGTAGTTACAAAGTCATTGTTATGAATATTAAAGCATATATGCCTATTTTATAGTTACAGTTCAAACCACAGAGCAAAAGTTCGAAAAAAGCAGATTTCCTGGCCGAAAAATTATTTAAAGTTGAAGAATTATGCAAATAAAAGGATTATTTTGATAAAACATTTTCCGAATTGTTGTCCAGAGATTTTGATGATTAAAAAATCTCAAAATTTAGCGGTCATTAATGAAATGCAATTAGAATTTATGCAAATTTTGTAAAATAAAATCTCAAAATTTAGTGGTCATAAATAAAATATAATTAGAATATATGCAAATTTTGCTATTCTATCAAAATATAACTTCTGTAGTTGCAACTTTCAAAAAAGTATTGACAAGTAATAAAAGTCTGATCAAAGTAAATTTCAGAGCTA